TGTGTGTCTCCATGTCCACTGATCAGTACAGGACTGGAACAATATCGACCTTCATAACACACAAAATGACGACGGTTAGCTCTCCGCGCGGTGATAACGCGTCCACACCCTTCCCTTCCTCGTTCTCCGTCTGTGCGACAGACAAAACGTCTACCGTGAAGAACGCCTACTTTAGGTGTTCCCTTCAGTGCCTGACCTCAATTCAAATATTATTTTTTAGTTTGAATCCATAACTCATATCACAAACAGCATTGACGTACTACCACAGCTAGCTATTATAAATATAGCAACACTGTACCGTATATGTTGTCTAAATTACACGCGTCCTTCGAAGCGTGAAGGCAGTAACGTTAGCCAGCTACATGAACGTTAGCTAGCTGTATATGAATGTTAGCTAGCTACCCGGAGCAACTCCTCAGCGAATCACTTTTTTTAACTCGGAAATAACATAAAAAGACCCCCAAAAACCGAACGCACACTCAGTATTCCGGTTAAGGCTATTCTGTTAGCTATTATAGTTCGATAGGCAAGTTATGACTTTTGGCAGGACATTTTCCGGTAAGCATGGGTGTCACCAGCGGAACGTATTTGATCGGGGAGACGTTATTAATCATTACACCAGTAGAAACCGAAAGTAAAGAGAAAACTGCCTTCGTACTTTGAACTACACATACGTTTTAACCTACGTAGAGTAACACTCACCTGACATCCCCAGTTGATATTTAACCATGTAAAAACTGACAATAGTTACAGTTAAAGGTGTATTTCTTGAATTACACACTAGCGAGAAGGATGCTTGAACTCTTATGTAAATATAATGTGCATATACCATAACTGTTATTTCTATGAACATGGCTCTACATAGAGCTTTTGTTAATACATCCCTAAATTCAGTTTACAAACAAAACATTTTATAAAGAAATTCCCATTAATTGCTTACACACTGGTTTGATAAAGTTTCTCCAACCCAGTGTTATTAACTAGAGAAGTGTTCATTCTTGCAGACTACATAAAGGGCCAACATAGAAACAAATCATTCTTAAAGCACACCTTTCTTGATGACATACCCTGATTTTATTGTATGTAAAAATTAAAAACCACTTTGAAAAGCCTTCTTGTTGAAATGTGTACAGATACACCCGACTAGCCTAAAAGAAGACTATTGGGTATCATAAATGTTACATACTGGACCTTTAATGTAAATCTTATCATCTTGTCATTTTTAAGGCAGACTGAGATGCCTAAGGATCTGTTCCCATATCCATGTGTGAATTATTTAACATCTAATATAAACTAACAAGTTAATGTAATATGAATTAACACCATTAAGTTGTTTTACGCGATGCAGGGACCACTGAAGCTTTCTCATTAGTAGTCTGAGGTTTATGGAAGAATGCTGGCGTTGCAATCTCAAACAATATCTGTGACGCACTTTGTAGTGTGTCCCGAGAAGCTGAAAGTCTTTCACACAGTCGCACTGTACTTTAGCAGTGAGAAGAGGGTGGATATTGGGGCAGATCCTGTTGCTTCACCAAATCTTTTAGTTCCTCATTTTGGACAAAGAGGATGAATCCTGTTCATCCTGTATCCTCTCACGATAAATAGTATATCACTGTATTTTTCTCAAGGTGCATCTGCTGGAATTAAAAACAATTAACAAAAGTATAAAACAAGTATAAATCTCTTTAATTTTACAAGCAACTTGAAAATGTCGAGACACTTCTGATACTAAGACAAGTGAAAGTTCATGAGACAACTTTCTAACATTTAGAAGACAAAATGATTAAAAGTATGTGAGACAGTAATAACATAGTTTAAACTGTTAAATAAACTTTTTTAGTTCTGACAGCGGAGTGGCAGTCTGGATTTCTGAGGCGTCAACGCAGCTTCGTTTTCTGATGCTTTTGACCTGGCAGGGATCTTTGACTCCTTCTTACCGCCCTTCTTTTGCTGGAAAAGAGGAATGACAAGAATATAGAATTGTTTTTAATTCATACACAGTAAAAGTTTGGCTGAGCACTCCTATGGAAGCCCAGTATTCCTGGTAAATGAGGGTTTGACCCAGAACCGGGACCCGCAGGAGGTATCAGGCTGTCGTCATAAATCTACTCTGACCCGACAGTCTTTAAGCTGACTTTAACACCTGCTCTCATCCGAGCACAGAGCAGATACTCTGCAGCACGACCTGGCCTCAAATCTACATTGTATCTGCTCAGGCTAAACTACAGTGGCGGACCCCACTGGCCTGATTGACAGTCCCGCCCCCTTTTTGTTCTGTGCAATAACAGGTGAGAAAGCGTCGGTCAGAACCTCAGTCAACTTTCTGTACTTTAGTGTACTTAAATATGCTATTTGCTAGGCTCATCTCAGAGCTTTGTATTTTTCATTAGTTTTTTATTTAAGTTAATAAAAATGTTGTTTAGTTAACTATAATAACTTTGGCTCATCTACATTCAGACGACCAAATATTTATTATGATAAAAAAAGATAAAAGCAACATATATAGTTAAATGTTAAGTTAGCTATTGTTAGCAAAACACAAGGTCAATTACTACCCCTCCCCATGTAAAGCTTCCAGATATTTTTAAACCTTTAATTAAAAAATCACATTCAATATTTTTGCTCACCTTGAAGAAGGGAACGCGTTTGCTCTCGTTGAAGACGAGGTTCTCGTCGATGAAGGACGGCTCTGTGGCTAAGCTTTCATTACAAGTACTCAGCTCATCCTCCAGAGAGTCCTAGACACAATAAAGAGGAACAAAGTGAAAATGGAGCAGATATGATACAAATACAAGAAAAAAAAATGTAAATGAAAATCAGCAAGCTAACAATATTCCAGCCAGCAGGTGCCATTGTTTGAGTTCAGCTCAAGTGACAGTGTAATAAATAAACAGTAAACAATAGAACGGTAATAATATAATGGTTATGTGAACTTGGTTACTGGAGGCAGCGTCCCTTTTCCAACAATAGGCAGTGTCATATTATAGACACAAGTGACGAAATAGAAAATACAAGTAAACATACGTGGTCAACCTGGCTGTGTTTGTCATCGTCCTCCTCCAGCTCCTCCTCCTCCTCCTCCTCCATGGCGGCTTGCAGCTGCTCATGTTGCCTCTTCAGGCTCTCCAGCAGCTCACAGCGGCTCCGCGACTTTATCAGCTGCCTGGGATACACAAACTCCCGACGCTGAGGGGTCGTACCTGAAGGCAACAACGGAGCTGGTTTATGACCTGGACAGGTGAAGGACTTGAAGACAAGACACGATACGTACCACAACAAAAACAAAAGTGGAGTACTCAACCAGAAAAGACACCTAGGTTAAATCACATACCGGTGGGAACATCCTGCTGCAGCTCTTCCTGCAGGAAGCCGTGGACAAGCTGTTGGCTAGTCTCCACATGGTCCTGCAGCTCAGCCTGCTGTTGTTCCAGGACATTCCGATCCAGGGAGGTCTGGTCCTGCACACCAATCAGAGCCTGCTTCACTTCCTCGTGCCGACTGGTCAGCTCCACCCTGGCTGTTCGGAGCTGTTCAGTGCAGTGCATCTCCACGTTCTTGAAAAAAAGATGAAGGATTAAAGCTGCAGTTTGTTATGATCCAGTGAAACCTCAACCATAAAGCCCGAAAACCTTCAAGTACAAATAAAACTATAAAGACAAACATGCAGAGGGTATTTTTTTTACCTGATGGAGGGTCTGAGCTTCAGTAGAAATCATCCCCATTAGGGACAGGTGTTGCTGGGTTTGCGTCTCTGCATGCTCCCTGGCTCTGGAGCTCCATTGGAGGTCACGCTCCACCAGACCTGCAGTCACAAATCGTCAGCATCAACACTGAAGTACAGTGAATGTATGCAGCTTTAAGGTCTCAATGATAACAGAAGAAATGATGAGTTTGGTACCGGACACAGAGCTGTGGAGGTGGGAGCAGCAGCCTGTCATCTCTTCCAGCGTCTGCTGGCTCTCGTCAGCATTCAGACGCAGAGAGGAGGCCAGAGAGGAGGAGGTGGAGGAGAGGATCTCCACCTGGGCCGAGGCCCGACGCTCCACTGTACTGCAACCACTGCAAGATGGGGACAATGTGAAAGAAATGAATCTCACACACTTTTAGTGGTTGATCATTTTTTAACATGAGCACAAAAAAGAGCAAAAACAAAACTTGCAATTCCTTTTTTAGATTTTGGAGCAGGGAATTACGATGTTTGACCCCAACTTTGATTTGTGTTTGTAGCTCTGGAAGTAAAAGGAAAACCTCAGTGTGACTCACCTGCTGATGTTCTCCTGCAGGATCTGTAGAGGTTTCTGCAGAGATTTGGAGGCAGAGTGCAGATCGGTATAGTCCTTCTGGGCCTCCATGGCCAGCAGGTTGAGCTGGTCCTGCAGACACTGAATGGTCTGCTTCATACCCTGACAGGAGGAAACACATAATGATGATGAGAAACACGTCTGCGACCGAGAAGGCTGGCCTTTTATAAGTAAGGGAGTGAAAATATTTATAGCAGCCCATTTTGGGTAATACCATTTTGTTAAATAGATTGGTGTACAATTTAATAATGTTTGACCACTTGAAAATTGATTTAAAAAAAAAAATAAAATAAAAAAATCAATTCATGCTGTGATTTGGTATCAAAAACTGTTCCAGTCATTACTCACAACCTCTTATTGTCAATGTAGCTAGGAAAGCCACACATCCTCTGAATGCCATTTTATACAATGAGGTCACGTTTCAAAAAAATGAGTCACTACAATGAAATGGCTTCTAGGGGCTGACATCATCACACATGTATTCAGTTAGGCTCATAGAATCCCCATGACTGTCAGCTTTCCAGTTACACCCAATTTATGCAATTCCAATACAGTTTATTCACCGCAGTACGCAGGAATATTCAAGTACAGCCAGCTCTCTTTCTACAGTGAGTTTGCCTTGTGTGCTCTGACCAGTGCTCAGATAAGAAGCCGTTCTTGTAGTTTCATATTATACTAGTATCTTCTTTCTTTAAAACTAGACTGAAAGAGAGTCAGCAGAGGATGATGGCCTCCACACAGATAAAGAAATGTCTTACTGCAGAATTCTAAACTCATGACTTTCTCAGCTGAACGGTTTCTAGTTTTCAGTTTATTTTTAAGGGGATAAAAGATCTGGTGGTAAAAAAGCTGCTTCATTTGTTTAAATTTCTTACCGTCTGGTGTCTCTCCTGCGCTTGTCTGATCTCATCCTCCAGCTTGTCATGTTCAGTCTGCAGTGAGCTCAGACCCTGCACGGCGGCCTCCCGCAGCACGGCCAGCTCCTGAACCAACCCGCTGAAGAAAACACCCACCTCCTTCATCGCCTCCACCTGAGAGGAAGAGACAATGGCAATGATAAGGATGATAAAAGGAGGTTTAGCACAGGTGCGTGTAGGAAGACAGAACACCAATGCGGACCGACCTTGCCGGCCAGAGCTCGCTGCGTCTCCACTGTGGCTCTCAGGCTGTCATTGAGCTCCTTGACAGCCGACAGGCCCATCAGAGTCCGAGCCACCAGGACCTCCTCCATGTCCTGTCGATGCTCTTCCTGCATTCAGACACACAAAGTCAAAGAAAGCTGTCAGATGTGTTTTACAATAATACTTAACGGAGCAATGTGTGTCATATGGCCAGAATTCTAGTTTATCAAAGAAAACTAAAAATGATCTGTATCCGATACGGTATCTACTGAAATTAGCATGCTAGTCAGCTAGCTGCAGCTAATAGGCATTTTAAAAGTTGTTTGCTTGTTGTCTCGTGGACCTGAGGAAGTATGCGTTTATTGCAATGAAATCACAGCAAAATCCCATGATCCCACAGTCATAGTGTAACCACTTGACTCATCTCAACAGTAATGCCAGGTGTGGAAAGTTTGCTGCGTTTTTGACATTGCATGTTTTGACTTGTGTCTAACTGGAAACCATCTTGAACAGTGTCACCACATTGATGGTGGGAGGAGGTGAAGTGCTGTGGCCCAGAATCACACACTGCTGCTTTAAAGTCTGAGGACAACTGATTCTATTATACAGATTCTAATAGCCAAATTAATAGATACACAGATCCACCAGACAGCAAACCAAATATATCAGCCTTCCAAACTCTTCGTCTTGTCTATTAAGCGGCCATCGAGGTTGGCCCGTCCTTACCAACAGCTGCAGCAGGCTCTCCTTGTCCTGCAGACACAGCCCCTCCTGTTGCTGCACTCTGTCCTGGCAGCGACTGACGCCCTCGGCGACCAGCTGCCCGACTCCGCCAGTGAAGGACTCCACAGTGGCCAGAGCTCCCTTTAGCGCTGCCTCGTTCCTAACGAGCAAACCATCTGTTCAGGAAAAAAGGACAGACAGACAATTAGAAGGTCAGATGTTTTTACTTATCCATAAATAAAATTTAAAACCAAGTGTTAGAGAATTTCTGAGAAAAGCTACATCCTGAATGAATGGGACACTTTACTGTTCTGTCCAACAGCCATCACCAAGCTGTTCTGGTAAAGTACTGCTGCTCGAAAAATCCTTTTATTTTGTGAGGAAGGCAACAGCAATTTGGTCTGGGAAAGTTTAATTTCTCAAGTTATATTCAATAAAAATGCTTCAGAATCTCACATATGGAACCTTTAAGGTGAGCTCAGATGAACGTTGTGAGGGGTCATTTACCAACTACTGATCAAACTGCTGCTCTTCAAAAGGAAGAACCCTTTAGATTGAATGACCCTGTCATCTTTCCTCTGCTGGTAATACTGCTAAGACTCATGAGCACCGGGGCTCACTGCTCTTACCGATGGCCTGCGAGTAGCTGCTCAGCATGTCTTGGTGTTTGGTTCCTTGCTGCTGAACGCAGTGCTCCATGTTGCTGAACGCTCCATCCATCCGCTGAGCAAAGCTCTGCTGGATCTCCGTGTTGTGCTGCTCTACCTGCAATTTAAGTCAAGTGTTTGTTGTCATCCATGTTTAGAACTACAGAAAGAAATCTGAAACAATTTTGATGACATACATGCATACATATATACACACATACATACATATACATATATAGAAACTTTATACAAGTGACATTAACTTCATACATTTTAATGCCTAAAATAAAGATTATTGGATCGAAGACTTTTTAAGACCCTGCAGACACCCTGGGAAATTCTGATCCAATCCAACTCAGTGATGTCAGTTATTCAGTAATATCTGTGTCAAATGTAACATTAGTAAGCTTATGATACCAAGTGAGGCTGCAGAAGCACAGATTAAAGCAGGTGTGTTTCATTGGGTTTTCATTTATAAAAGAGGAAATTGTCAAACATTCATTATTTTCTGATTCACAAGTTGTGAACAATGATTCTCAGTTCTTAAAATTTAGGTTGAATATCTTCGACAAACAACATCTGAAGAGTTCGTTGCTGGCTCTTTGAACTTGTAATGAGCTCTGTCACAGTTTTATGACATTTCTTATTGATAAAAGATTAATCAGTTGTCGTAGAAAGAATCAACAGAATTATTAAAAGGAAAATCAATTTGTTTTTTCAGCATTCAACTCAGAGCTCCAGTGGATTCATTTCAACCACATTAAGTGTGAGATACACAGGTACTGACTTGTTGAAACACATTGCATCAGATCCTGAGTGTCACATTATACCAGGCCTGCTGAGAGCCTAAACTCAGTCTGTCACTTTGTTAAATCAAACAGTTTGTTTGATTTATTCGTCAAATAAAGTGTGAGCATGTGAACATCAGAGCTTCTTCACTGTTCTGTGAAAAACATGCATCTCCAAAACTTCAAACTTTAGTCCTGAGCAGAGAATGGGGTCTCACTCTCTTACTCAGCTTACGTCTAAAATGCTGGTGCTCTAGTGCGACATCCAGGGACAGGTGAATTGTGTAACCTTTAATTCAATTTAACTAAAGTCAGCTTAGTAAGCAGGAGACGTTTCTCAACTGTTATTACTTCAGTTCACCTAAGATACCAAAAATCAGAAAATTGGGAGATAAATGGTTTTCACTTGACAGTGAATGTGTGTACGTTTGAAAAGTGACCTTTTTCTTCCTGTCCAGCTTGGCGTGGAGACCCGACACGTCACTGGTGCTGACATCCACTGTACTCAGCAGCTAGAGGAGGAAACGCAAGGACAGAAATGTAAAGTTGTCAGAAACGTGCACCAAGTATTATTCATTCATTATATAATATATAATGAATAAAGAAATAATTAAAAGGGATATGTTGTATCAATGGTGCTGCACACAATGACTTCTATATATCTGTCTTATTTTTAAACATCTGAGTGATAACAGGATAAAAATCTTTTCTGAAATAGGAAGTTAGGTCAAAAATGGCAGAAAACAGGAAGTTACAAACAAGATGGTGCATCAGAAGAGATTATTTATAGTATGGAAAGTACATGAAGAAAAAGAAGAGAAAAAAAAAGAGGAACAAACAGAAAAAGCAAATGACAACCAAACACGGTACCAAACAAACTAGCTAAACATCTAAATACGGTTAAACACATTTAGGAACACGACTTCCATCACATATATTGAAGCGTCATGTGTCAGCTTCAGTAGACCAGTGTGTACCTGTCCTGCGGTGCTGTAGAGGGTTTCCTGGACTGAGGCGAGCTCCGAGCAGATGAACTCCTCCTGACTCAGCTTGTGTTTGGTCTGCTGCAGGTCTTGGCTCGTCACCTCCAGCCTGAAAATAACAGTGGTGGAAATATGACTAAACTTACATTTACTGTACTTAAATACCAGTTACTGGCACTTTAATTCATTTCATTGTATGCAACTTTATACTTTTACTCCACTACACATCAGAAGCAAACATACTTTTTACACCACTACATTTCTCTGACAGATTTAGTTACTTTTCAGATTACAGTTTTTCATGTTCTTCCTGTCCAGTGTCCAAATGAAGGCTGAAGTGTTCCTTTATGGGTTGAGAAAACTCTTCTACTTACATAAAATAAATAAACTATTTAGAAACCCCTCGGAATAGGATTTAGCAACACAGATTAGCTGGAAATGCATCATCACAGCTGAAATCAGGACGTTTTTCTGACTTTTTAGGGATAAATTATTCTCACAGGACAGCCACACTACAAACATATGATGATCTTATGGTATATGAGCATGCAGCAGTAATATTGATCCAAAAACATTAAATAAATAGTAAAACACTGACAGGGACCTTTTCACTGCACATTGACTACATATACTTTTCACAGTTTAAATACATCTTGCTGGTAATACTAAGTTAATAGTTTAATTCAGTAAGCTTTTGAATGCAGGACTTTTACAGGGTGGTAATAGTACTTAAAGAATGAAAAGAATGGTTTTCTATGCTTTAAACACCCAATGGCATTCATCTGCTTAGGTCATGTGTTACATGTTGTATAAGAACAATCACTCACCTCTGCTGCTTCTCATCCAGATCTACAGTACACTGCTCTAGTCTGGTCTTACTGTCCACAAACAGCTCAGTCACCTGCAGAGAGGAACACGTGAGGACATCCAGTGCCCATTTCTTTTGTTTAGAGATGCTGGTACTGGGCTTGCTGGCAGTAAATTGTATACAGAGCCATTATTCGTCATTGGAGACTAAAAGTAGTGGCAGATCCTCTCAGAAATACATAAAACATAATTCTCATATTTCCATAATTTTCCATCATTTGAGCTCTGACTGGAGCTATTTTAACTACATTATTGTTATGTCTTCTTCTGCAAAGTTCTGGCACTACTGCCACCTGCTGTTTATCTCACAGCACTTCTTTATAGTAGATGGAAACATGCATAAATTCCTTTTTTCTTTGGCCGATTTTCTGTTACTGAACTTCTTCTAAACCTGGCTAGTGTTATAATAAATGTAAAGGGTGTTTGTCAGATGGAAACAACCTTGGTGTAAATAGAGTACCTTTTGGCTCTGATATCATTAGTCTCTCTCATCTTTCTAAAAGCTCCACCATGACAACAGCTGATACGAAATTCCTCAAAGCTGTAAATTACCACTACAACAAAGAATTATTTTCTCTTAATCTAGTAGCCTATAAAATGTTTGTTTTTTTATTAATTGACTAATCAATTAATCAATCAACTAATCTATGCCACTCTAGTGTAAACTTTAAGTTATATCTTAATTCTACATTGTAACCAACGTGTTTCAGTCTGAACAATCACGTACCTTCTTGAGCTCCTCCTCCATGGCGGCGATCCGGTCCGTGTACTCCACTATATTCTCCTCGCGAGAGGTGATCTGACTCATCATACTCCTGACACACACACACACACACACACACACACGCACACATGCACAGAGAGTACATATCAGTTACACACAACAAGGTGCATCAAGCTTTAATGTGCATCTTTTACTTTTGCACATTTTGTGTGTAATTTATTAAATTATTATAATAAAAAAAAAACAAAAAAAAAAACACAAAAACGTAAAGATTTCCAATGTTTTCTACACTGTAAACTAATAAATGTGTGTGTAATGCTTGACTGAGAGTTGACGGTGTTAATGGGTGAATTGATAATGAAAATAAGTCAGTAGCTGCAGTTTTACTTTCTAGTTCCCAGACAAATTGTCAACCAGTTGAAACACCAAATCCATTAGGAAAGAACTGGCATTAAGTCCTTATTAGAGCTAGACCCACAAAACTCTAGTTTTTACATTGTTTTGGTGATGTACCAGGTGTTTTATGGTTGATGATGCCCAGTTATACAAATAGATATAAGTAATAATAAATAGATATTCATTCATGTGACCTACTCGTAGTTCTCTGCAGACAGATAAACTCCGTTCTTGTCTCGGGTAGCGGCCAGGTCGCGCTTCAGACGCTCGATCTCCTCTGTGTATTCCTGAGTGGACAGAAACGCAACATTTTCCATTAAGATGTTGATGTGAATGTGTTGTTTGACTTCACGGTTTGAATCAAATACATTTTCTGAGAGGCAGTAAGTAACTTGCCTCTTCCCTTTATGTCTGATATCAAACTTGATGAGCTGCACTGAAAAAAACCTTAGAATTTACCCCAGAGTGAGACTAAAGTTTGTGCCTGATCAAACTCATCTACCTTAATGAGCGTCCTCTTGGTGAGTTTCTGGTTAACCTCAGGTTTGTTCATGATGTTCTTGGCTCTGCTGGCGTACTCCAGCGTGCTCAGAGTCTCCTGCACACACGGAGAGAAAATCACAACCATTCACCAAATCAGAGGAGCACTAAACCTGTACAAGCTCTTACTTGCTTAATTATCAATTAACAAGGAAAACATACAAACTTTATCTTTAAAAAAGCAACATGAGCATGTATTTACAGACAACCCAACGTACTTCCAGGTTGCTGGAGGAAGGCGAGACGGTGGCGATGATGGAGGTTTTTGTTCGTCCTCCCAGAGAGTCCTGTAGGATTCTGGTCAGCTTAGACTCTCTGTGGGAAGAGAACACATAATTTAAGTAGTAATTGGAGCTAGACCCATGAGTCATCCAGTACGATGCACTGGCCGATGCTTTAGAGCTTCAGAGGGGCTGGTAAGTGAATCTTGTTACCTTTGGATAGAGCCAAGCTAGCCATTTCCAGTCTTTATGCCAAGCTAACCAGCTGATGGCTGTAACGTCATACTTTACGGACACATAAAAGAGTGGTTTTGACCGTCACATATAAATTCTTAAGAAAATAGATATCGCAAAATGTCTGTAATACATTTATATTTACAAATTATTTCTGTAATACACCCCAGGCTTTTAATAAGATAACCAGGTCTTAATCTATTGTTTGACTTGTATTAAGGGGAAAAAAAAAAAAGAGAATGACTTCACGCCACATGCCAGAATACAACCACCAATTGAATCGTGACTCTACCTGTAGGGAACGTGAGGCCTTTTCTCCACCAGAGCGGTGATCACTCTGCCCAGTGTTAGCAGAGACTGGTTGATGTTTCCCGCCTCGCGAGCTCGCTTGTCCACGGCACCTGAACGCCCAATGTTCTCACTGCCAGCGAGATCCACCTAGAGAGGGAAGTTTACGCTGTTTTTCTAATTGTTCTGCAATCGATTTTGTAAATGGAAAATAGAGACTTTTCTTTGGAACTGTCAATTAAAATATACATTACTAACAGCTTATAATTACCTTATTTTGGCCTAACAATTAATGCTAGAGAAATACTACGAATAAAAGATTGGGGTTATGGCTAATTGAAAAGTTCCTACTACTTCTGGTCTTCCAGTATAAAATCTCTGATATTCAATATGAAGGATTATTACCAGATTGAGTTTGCCAATCTTCACAAGCTCCTCTCCATCCAGAGTGATTTCCTTCATGTGAATGGTGACTGAGAACACAGAGTGGGAGCGACTACACAGAGACACAGGAGGGAAACAAACAGAACGCTAAGTGTGAAAGTTGTGAATGAACCAGCAAAGGTCGCAATGTCTGTTCCTGTGACTCCAGCAGCTCAGAAATCATCCGGATTTGTGGACACTTTACCTAGAATAGGCGTTCATGAGCGTGGAGGCCGTCCTCCTCTTGGCTGATCCCCTCTCCAGGATCTGATAAACTTCATCTTTGTTGTGAACCGTCACCTCCTCCAGACCTTTCACCACCACACCTCGCTGCAACAGAACAGATGTCACAGAAGACAAACAACGCAGGATTATAAGAACTGAATAGGGAACATTTGAATTAATCTTTATGAATCTGATCAAGTTCCGCTCCCTTCCAGCACTCAAACAACCTACTGTGCTACATTAAAGGAATAGTTTAACATTTGGTCAAAGTGTATTAAAGAAAAGCAAATGTTTTCCTTTAAAAAAAGGGCAGAAGTAATACAGCAAACTCACAGTTTAATTAGGCAAATGCTACACCGAGGGAGCAAGAACAGCAGTATACTTTCAGAAGATATTTAGTCTTTTTCGTTGGGACAAGCCAGTCCGAGAGTCACCTTGTTGCGTGGGTCGTCGAAGAGCTGCAGCCGCTCGTTGACGTCCTCGGTGGGGCTGAGCAGGTCGAACAGCTCCTCGTTGTAGATCTCCAGCAGGGAGACTTTGACTGAGAACTCTGTGCCGTTCTCTGAAAGCTTCTCAAAGATCTGGTGCAGCGTTCTGGGGATGATGCCAGCCAAAGGGTCCTAAAAACACGCAAACACAGGAAGTAGTCAGTTTTCTGCTATACACTGTCTCAGAGCAGATTTGATTATGCAGTATCGGTCCTGACAAAAAACAAAAGGAGCATAACTGAGTGATTTAAACTCACCTCCTCCCAGGTGAACTGCTCGTCTGGACTCCTCTCTCCCTCCATGGTGAACGTCTTTCCTGTTCCAGTCTGACCGTAGCTGAAAAACACAGCCGGGAAGGGAAGGCAGTCGTTAATGAACAGTTTTTATTTCATGTTCATTACACACATTATTACAGTACAGCGCAGAGTAGTAACCAAAGATATCCGTTTAGTGAAGAATCAGTCTGGCAGCTGCAGAGCACTTACGCAAAAACAGTGCAGTTGTATCCCATGATGACTTCATCCAGAATTGGGCAGACGACGCTCCTGTACACGTCAATCTGCTTGGCAGCTGGACCAAATACCTGTGGAAAAAAGAATTGCATTTAAAATAATGAAATAACAAAATATGACAGAGCCAATTAACTTCAGGTGGACTTAAATAAATTCAGAAACGTATATTAATCATTTGGAGTGACAGAGGAGCAGCACTATCACGTGGTTAGTGTCCATGATCCGATACGTACCTAAATATTGAATAAATATGTATCTGACGCACTGGAATATGTTTTTTTCTGTGCTGAAGTTGATGTGAAACAGAGCAGTTTAACCAAACAACAGACAAGTTTAACTTTGTTCTGTCAGTAGGTTTGGAATGCGACCTCAGTGCGAACAATCATATCAGATTTCATGTGATTGTTACATCTTGCAGTGTGAACGTATCCTTAGTGACAGCTGATTTGACCTGCCATCAGCAACATTTGTCATTTTAACTGTTAAAGGTGACATCAGTGCCAACCAAACTGAGAAGAGCTACTTGAATGTTAAGCACACTGTAGTAACACCACAAGGATTCTCCACAGGAGCAAATACCACACAACTGAAGTGTACAAAGACAAAAAGGGCACGTCTGCATCCACTCACCATATCAAAAGTGTAGGTCTTTCGTGACGCCTTGTCGTTCATCCCTCCTGTCTTCACCATCACCTCCTTCCTGTTTGGATCGCAGTCGATAACCCCATGGGAAGACTTGCGCTCCATTGTGTTAAAGGGCCTGAAATCAAAACGCAGGAGAGACAGATGTGACTCTCTGAACACCACCATCTGCAGGGCAGTTTCATTTTCACCAACTAATAATGGGGAAGTATGAATTAATGATAGTGATTAAATGATCAAACACAGGTAAAAGCATACAATAAGCAATACAGTAACCATCACAATACCCTCTCTTGAAAAACATTTAAAACACATTGAAAAAGAATCAAAGATACTGTGATGCAAAGCTGTATCACTCTTTTACTCCACACTATTAACTGCTGTCCAACTGTTTTACAACATTTTATAGCCGTTCAACATCTTTGACCTCAGCACATCATGCCCATGTGACTGTATTAGAAATGGGGATTTATGAAGATTTTACTGATACCGAGGCCATCATGCATGCTGCTCATTGGCCTGATACGTTGTCATTCCCTTATTGATTCCTGATCATTTGTTTGTGTAGAAAACGAGGTGGGGAAAGGTTTTCAGCATTAAGCAAGGGTTCTATTATCAGAGTCTGAACACAGTGTACAAAAGAGCCTCGCTTTGGACGGTTTCCTCCACTCTGATCGCTTCTGTTGCAAGTTTCCAGTAGTGGACACATGAGTTGAACATCATAATCACTGTCATTGTCAGAAGAACATTTGGCATTGATGAGAGGAATTGAAATACTCGGTGGCATACGGTTCCAATGGATACCAGTTTGCGATTCCCATCTCTAGACACTACACTAGAGCCCTGGTTGCTGTCAGACGTCAGTCTCTCAGTCTTTGATTTAAACCCACAAACAGTGCTCAGACAGCTGGGATTAAAGATTTAATCCTAAAAGCTTTCCTTAAAGATCAAATAATGAATCCACAGTTTATGTCTCATGTATTATCATTCCACCAAGAGTTGTTTTTATGAAAGATAAATCCCAGATGGTCTTTGAGAAACCGTTAAGCTCTTTTAACAACACATACCACTGCTCTGAAGGTATTCCCAGAATTTATCAAAGACTAATAATGTGGATAATAGAGATTTTTAACCCAACTTTTCTGTGCTAATCTAAACAAAGATGGTAAACAGTGGTAACTGTTGGGTCTCTGTAAATAATTTTTACGGTCTGAGATAACTTTTGTTATGAATTGGTGCTAAACAAAATAACACGTGTTCTTATTATATTTCTCTATAGGAATGTTACTTTGCATTTATCTGCGCAGCAGACAAAATGTTTTTGATCCAGATGATCTGAAGATTCTTTGTCGATTCTGTAAATACTTTTAAAAAGCAGTAAGTGTTGTTAAACAGCCTTCTCGGTTTTGAAAGAGTGTCTGGGACAGAAAGACAGATGCATTTTCTAATGCATTTCAGGCAGAGAATATACAAAAAAAAAAGTATATGTTGGAACACAATTAATTTAAGACCAAATTCACGTCCATACTGGCAAAAAAGTGTGTAAAATATGATGGAAAATCTGTATTGGTTCCATGCCGGTTTTATTTCACAGGCGTAACAAATCTTTTCCCCAAAACCGCTCTACC